CCAGCTTCCCCCCATGAACCGAAGCTACGCCCACGACTGCATTAACGAAGTTATGAGTGTACCGGATCTGAAGAAAGAAATCGAGGCTAATACTACATCACCTCAAGACCTTGCAGCACAGAACGCAAATAAAAAATGCACATCTGCGGAGTCGCAGGCGATGATTGGATTTGCACAGCAGCTGCAACAAACAACAAGGTCGTTGAAATCAGCCAAGTTCAGCAGTTTTATAGCATACGCACCTAATCATGGAACCATCAACTACGAAGCCTGGAACACGTTTGTTTCAAATGGTTTGAGCTTGAGGGAGACAGTAGAGAATTGGTACTTTGGTTCTTGATTAGGAATGATTGTTATTACCGTATAATGACTTGTACCGTCATACCCCGGATCAGGGCTGATTTTATCAGGGTAATTACCCTGATTTCAGGGTGATTTCAGGCTTCTCACCTTGTGATCCCTGTGAAATCAGGTTTTTCACATTTTGGTCCCTGATCCATTAAGAGTATTGATTTAGCGGAGCCTGAAATTCTCAATACACTCTCAGTGTAGTGTTTTCATGGACCCTGTCAATACAGAGTACGCGACCTGTGGACCCTGAAAGTCATGTTATCTGAACGAAGCTTCGTAGAAGCTTCGTTCCGATACCCCCCCATGTGGGTAATTATGATTCGCACGTAACCATGTGGGGGCTTCGTTTCACGCGCACTAGTGACAAGAACCGACACAGAACACAACTGTCATTTGTACAGCAGCACAGCTGTCAAATTTGACAGCGCACCTAGAATCATCATGTTTACTGCCACGCGCACCGTGCAAATCACAATACGTGTCCCTCATTGGAGAGAGACACTTAGTGGCTGTCGTCGCTGGCAGTGAAGCAGTCGTTCAATGTATTCGGCCTGCATCAGGGCCTCAGATTCGTTTTGGGTGACCCTGAGCACTCAAGGTCCTTTGGGGCTGTAACACTGATCATCAGGGTTGTAAATGGAGAAACACTGATTTCTCAGGGTTAGAAAAAAAAAAACCCTGACACATCAGCGTGAGTTAAAAAAAAACACTGGCGGTGAGAATCCACAACAACTATCACAAGTATAATAAGTTAAGAAAAGTTCAAATATGGTTCTAATGAGCTTCTAATCTAACTACAGGCACAGACCACTTGGCGCTCACACCGCACACACAATTCACATCACACACATGTCTTCATCTTCGTCACTACCACCACCATCGCTCATAGAACCGTGCCTGTGCACGGGGGTCTCTGTCCCCCACCCAGAGCCAGCACCACCAGCATCATCCTCGTCCACCTTCTCTTTCCCCTTAGCACTAGGTTGCTTCTTTGGTGCTGCCACTGTTGTGATGGGCTTGCGCTTCTTGTACGCCCTCCAGATCTTCACCACCTCCGCCCAGTCGGGCTCGTACGGCAGCAATGCCATGCACATGAGGTCCGACAGCCGCGCATCCTTGATGGCACCCCTCAGCCAGCTCTTGATGATGTTTTGACGCGAGAACCCCCGCTCGCACTCGACTGTGCTCAACGGTAGCACAGCGACAGCCATCCACAGCTTCACCAGGTTGGGGTACGCGTCCTCCCAGTCAGGAGACTTCAGCATCGCCGAGAGACCCGGGTAGAACTTTCTCTCGGACTTCGGGGCTCCAGCGAGAACCGTGCAGAACGTGCGGAGCTCCTTGAACGCCTTCTTCTTGTTGACACCTGGAGGGAGTCAGGGAGTGCGCAAGCACAAGGAAAAGAACAAGGTAAGCAAGGCTCACCAGACAAGTGGTGCCAGTGTTTAGGTGCTACACAACAAAGCAGCACAAACAACGATGCACAGACCAAAGAGAAGTACGTACCTGGAACGATCTCGTCGCACTCTTGGGCCCTGAAGAGCGTCGTGAGGGACTCAAGGTGCTCCGTGCAGACCATGGAACGCTCCTGCCGTCCATGGGGCCACTCGTCGGGCATGAACAGCTTCACACCGCTCAGCTTGTCGAGTGAACCCAATCGCTCATCCAGGTTATGCACGAGCGCCTCCGCCATCGCCGTGCACTGCTCCACGCATCACTCATGGGTCCCTGCAATGGGGTAGCCTTCAAGGGGGGAATCATGCAGCACGTAGCAGTGAGAAGTGGGCCGACCGTCGGAGTCAACCCACTCGACCTCCACTCTCCGCACCCCATTCGGTCCATGTCGTGCAATGAAGGGCGACAGCTTCTCGCTCAGGCCGCCGCCGAAGTCGTCGCCACAATCCACATAACGGCTGTTGATGTGGGTTGTCGTGCGACGGATCTGGCCTTGAATCGCCAGCAGGTCAATCTGCCACACAAAAATAGTAGGGAAAGCACAGCCAGGTTTCAATCATGAAGCAGAACTAGCCGTAGCTAGCGGCCCTAAACCCACAGTCCTCACGGCACACAGGGATGCACAGGCAAAAGCAGGATCTCACCTGTCGATGCTGGAACGTCTTGCTGAGCACGTTCAGCTGTTCCAGCACGTCAGCGAGGAAGCGCAGCATGAACTGGAATCTGTAGCTGGTCACCATCTGGTACATGGGCTTGTTTCCCAGCTCGTGCACCATCACGACGACCCCCGGAAGGACTGCAAGAAGTCGGCAGACTGCATCGCCGCGTGAGAGCCAACGCACATCATTGATTCCTTGGAGCTCCAGGTTAGTCTGAGTGAAGACTTCCTGAAGGTCCAGGAAGCGCTGGTGCCAGGGTCCTGATGAGCCGAGGTAGGTGGAGAGCCAGCGGATGAAGCTGTCGACCATGCCAAACTCCGGTAGGGACTCTGCCGCGTCCTTGGCCGCGAGTGCTTCCCTGCGATTAAAACAAAAAACAGTCGCATTTGGTTAAGTAGAAGGAAGGACACCATGTTCAAATAACAAATACCAGTCGCATCGGACACTGCATCAACCACCGTACCTGTGAGCGATGCAGTGGCAGGACACCAGATGCGGAACGCGCGTCCTCAGCCTCGCCACCAGCCCGTTTTTGGATCCGACCATGACGCTCGCCCCGTCGGTGCTGATGCCCGTGATTCGGCGCAGGTCAATGCAGACGGCATTGACATGGGATAAGAGCAACGCCACCAGCGATGCGGCGTCTGCCCTGTCCACGGTTAGGAGGGCAAAGAACTCGGTGACTACTGCCCCGTCGTGGATGAATGTGGCATAGATGATGAGATGCTTCCCACGACATCTGTCCGTAGACTCGTCACAGCTGAGGCCGATGTGGTGGCTTTGTAGGACGTGTTCGAGTTGTGTTGTCTGCAGCCACACGGCCGTTGCCTGTGTTAGTTCCCCAAAGCCGTACCTGCATAGACACCGAACATATTTGTTAGGCTTACGTGGTTGTGAACAGGAGAGGCTTTTAATGCATGCGCTCGTAAGCACTTACGTGGTGTAGTAAGTGCCGTATCCCTTTTTGGGAAAGCCGCGGACCTCGTTCTGAGCCATGTAGCGAACGAGGCGCACCCACGTCTCCATCGGCAGATGGTTCTGGGTGGTGAAGTGAAGGGAGTTCAGAAGGCTGATGACGCGGGTCGTCTCGTCATCTTTGGCGAGCGTATGCTCGTCAATTCGCGGCTGCTTCCCAGCCTGAGCTAGCATCTGCTTCTGGTGATTGATGGCCATCTGGTGCTTGTTCGTCGCGGCATGCCGCTTGAAGGCTTGGGTCTGAAGATCGGTTGCACCGTGCCCACTCTTGCCACACTTGCCACCGTCACCTGCAAAGTCGATGCACAATCTGCACTTGAACGCAGGCATGCCAGCAGTGTTTTTTATGAGGATGAGCCATGGGTAGTCGGTCGACCACGTCGACTTGAACGTTTCAAGGGCCTCTTCGTAAATCAGAGTGGTTAGTGATGGTTTTTTAGAGTTAGATGGCGTGGGCGTAACGTGGTTTACCGACTCGCCGGCATCAGCGAGAGGACGTCCAGGATCTGTAGGATCGGCCCAACGGAGCACGGCCTGCTTGTAACGAGGCGGAGGCTTCGACGACGACGCACGAGATGGCAAGCGGACGCTCGGTCCGGCTGCTGACGGCACGGCCGGCTTAGCAGTATGCGCGGGCTGGGGATGATCGTCTCCGCGGCAGAGGCCAGACGCTTCACCAGTGTTTGCTACTGAGGCGACGGGACCTGGCTTCTCTTTTTCATGGGAGAGCGCGGAAACTAGAAAATCTAGTCCCGTTCTGGCCTCCAGCATCTCGGTGGCGGCGTAAAGTGCATCGTCGTCATCATCACCGCAGCTGTTCTCACCGGTGATCGCCATGGCGCGTTCACGTCACCTTCCTGAATCGGTGAGTAGTAACGAGAAACCCTGGGAGAGAGATTGCAGAGATTGATGTTTCGGGAGGTGATGGAGTCTGGAGAGCTGGCTTCAGGGAGACTGCAGAGATTGATGTTTCGGAAAGGGATGGAGTCTGGAGAGCTGGAATGGCAGAATCACGAGACCCCCTGCGTGGGGTGCCTGAGCGGGCCGCCCCAGCACGCCCTGCCTTGGTGGAAAGAACAAGGCAGACCACTGGCCCACTGGGCCACTAGGCTTGGTTGTTTGTGCACATCAATGGAAAGTAATGACAAGTGTAGGTTATCCAACGTGACAACGGTACATTGCTTCAGCTGGGACAGCCAATCTCTTTACGCGTTTTGCCAACACAGCCCGAAATTAACCCGTTCAACTGTATCTGGGCGCGCCGCAGGGTGGCGTCGGTGCAGGGTGGGTTCATGCATGATGACGGCGCGCAAAACTGCGAGAATCACGGAGTTTTTGGTTTCAGGGTCGTCTCCGATACAACACTGACTCGTCAGTGTCGACAAACTAGAAACACTGGAAAATCAGGATTAGGAAAAGAAAAACACTGATTCATCAGGGTTGTAAAAACAAAAAGGCTGATTCATCAGGGTTACAATAAAAAACCGGGGTCAAACATCAGGAAATCAGGGTAAAATTCCTGGAATCTGAGGCCCTGGCCTGCATGAAAGGCCGAATACAATGACGGCTCGTTGTTTCGACCACCGCGCCATCAATTTCGTGGCGACGCGGTGGATTCTTGCTGACCCCACCTTCTCCCTCCATCTCTTGCTTCCCCCCTCCCACAGCCAGGGTCTTGTTGGTGCTGCTGTTATGTTCCCTTTTTTCAATTCATTTCTCCGTTTCTCTCTCTCCCCATCTCTAGCTTCTCCCAGCCATGGAAGGCCAGCAGGCTGACGAGGACATGCCTCAGGCTGGCTCAGATGAGCCACCGTTACCGCCGAAAGCCACGGAGCCACGCTCGGGGCTTGATTTTCTTAGAGGTTCCGCTGCTCCAGTAACACCGGATCCACCTAGGTCTACCGTAGATGATTCTGCAGTTAAAGACACGCCCACGGCCACACCTGAAGAGTCTCCCCGGGAGGCCGCCTTCACTATACCCCCGGCTGTTGCTTCTTGCAGCAAAGATCCCCAACCGACCGCGCCAAGTCCCACACCAAGCACTGTGCGGGTGTCCGTTGGTCCTCCGTCGGCTACCTCCACACCGAAGAGAGCGCGTTCAGGGAAGTGGGCGCAGCATACCCTGCTCGTCGGAGGCCGCCGACTTTCTGATTCGAACACTCCGGCTGATCCACCACCTGCTGCATCTGCACCGCCAGAGGAAGATGTGTTCCCGATCCGCGCGGACACCGGCTCGCCCGCCCTCACCAAGGCGCAGCTGCAAGAGCAGATGTTCGTGGAGGCCAGCATCATGTACGATACGAGGTGGTCGGGACAGTTCTCCTGGCTTGTGTTCGGAAAAACCAAGAATGGGTTTCCCTATGTGAAGTGCAGTGTCTGCATGGCCTACGGGAAGGAGAACACGAGGTACGCGAGGCAGGGTGATGACGGAGGCCGTGACATGCAGACGCAGGCGTTTCGCGCACACGAGCACACGGACGCGCACAAAGCGGCTGTTGACCGGCAGCTGAAGATTGCGAGAGGCATCCGCGAGGGGCAGCAAGTGATTTCGAACTTCATCAACTCGGACGTCGAGGGCAAGCGCGCCGTCCGACTGTTGCGGTCGGTTGTGTTTCTGTGCAAGTGCGACGCGCCGATAAGCATGTACCCTAGGCTGATGCGGCATCTCGCGGAGCAGGACACGCCCGACATCCCGAGACAGTCTTACGGTGTTTATCTCACTCGGTAGGACATTTTAGTTACAATCTTGCTGTATTGAATTCGTGGTAATGATATATTTTCCCCCAGAAAGACTAACTGAAGGACCTACATCTCTGCGCAGGTACGGCTTCCAGCAGATGGTTCACTGCCTCAGTACGTACTTGACGAATGCGCAGATGGACCACATCAACTCCTCACCGTTCCTGGGCCTGCAATGCGACGAGAGCACTGACCGAACGCGTGGTAAACACATGATTGTTTACCTGACCTTCATCATGGACCGCCGAGTCGTCACCGAGTTCTTGACCCTCCTGACTGTGGAGAAGTGTGATGCTGCGTCCCTGTTCGAGGTGCTCATGAATCATCTGCGCTCCGCAGGCGTCGACGTGTCGAAGCTTGTCGGAATCAGTACGGACGGGGCTTCGGTCATGACGGGGAAGGACAACGGATTGGTGGCGCGGATCAGGGAGCACGCCCCGCATCTCTTTTCCTGTCACTGCATCGCGCACCGGTAAATTTTAGTGCCAGTTATTCATTCAGTTCATGTTGCTTGCCTGATTTCTACTCAACAATTATTACCGTTGTCTATTGCAGGGAGGCGCTGGCTGTTAAGGACGCGGCGACGTCCAACCCCGACCTCGGCATGGTGGACAAGGTGGTGCGTACCGTGGCGGCAAAACTAGGAGATTCTTCAGTCTGGAGCCAACAGTTCAAGTACCTGCAGCGTGTGATCTACAAACACTAACCTCGAAGTCTAGGGGATCCACACGGTTCGCTGGCTCTCACGTGGAGATGCGGTGCGACGGCTGTGCAAGGTGCTCGGTGCGTGTATCGTTCTTCTCTGGGAGCGGAGTCACAAGGTGTACGAGATCGTCACGTGCTACAAGTTCCAGTTTTGCCTGTTCTTCCTCGCCGACATCCTCGCCGACATGAACGACCTCAACCGCTGTTTCCAGAAGCGAGATGTGAGTTTGTTTAATCTTCCACGAACACGCCTCTGCTAGTGTCTCCAATTTCTCGAGTGTTGGATGTAAAATGACATGTCCTGTATGACTGTGCCCTTACAGATTGATGTGACGGAGATTGCGAAGACCATCGAGGCCACCACGGCGGATCTGACTGAGCGGTATTTGGATACCGACAAGCAGTTCGGTGGCGAGGGCAAGTGCTGGCTGGTCGGCTTTCTGAAGCTGCACGGGCATGGTGGAGGCAAGAAGGTCCGTGTGAGAGGCGTGGACGGGGAGGGACGCCCAGTGAACCATCTGTACACCATGCACGAGCGGAAGCTCCCGGGGCACAAGGTGGGGAGCGGATACGAGGAGTGCGTGAAGCTGTGCCGCAGTTTCGCCCGCGATTGCGTGGACAATCTCAACGAGCGGCTTGATGACCTGGGGAAGCTGGGGCCGACGAAGCTGTTTCGGGCCGGAAAGTGGCCGAAGATCAAGGCACAACGGGAGAAGAAGTGCCGTGAGTGGCTTCTGGGATGCAGCAAACTCTTCCGCCACCAGCTGCCGGGATTCGACCTGAAGGCCGCAGAGAGGGAGCTTCCCACATTCTGTGCGATCATGGAGGCGCACCACGAGCTGGAAAGCTTCACGCAGGGACTGACCAACATTCTCGGGAGCGCGGACTCGAAGAGGTATGTCCCCGTAGTGTGACAGCATGGTATGCCATGTGAGAGTCTAATCTATTTTGTGCATGTGGTCACTCTGTTTCCCACCCATCTCCGACAATGTGCCTGGCAGGAGGTGGCCCAACCTCGTCCTCCTGTGGCAGGCGATCGCGGTGCTCCCCCTGTCAACTGTGGAGTGCGAGAGAGGATTCTCGAGGCAAAATGTGATCAAGTCTTGGGTGCGCGGCGCTCTCTGCAACGCGCGGCTGGGGGAGCTGATGCAGATTTCGCTCCTGAATTACGACATCGAGTGGCCGGACGTCCTGGAGGTCTGGAGGTCTATGAGGAGGAGGCGCCCCGCAAAGAGCGTGAAGCTTGCTGTGGCTGATCGCGAAAGGAGGGGGAAAGCAAAGGAGGGTGAAGTCGAAGCAGGAGCTGCCCACCAAAACGATGGGGACGAGGACGAGGAGGAGGAGGTGGATGTGGAACAGGCCCTGGGCGACGATCAGGAGCTTGTGGGGGAGGAGGAGGATGACAATCCCTTCCTTTCGGACGATGAGGATGTGGAGGAAGTGTTCCACATCGATAGGCCTGTGCACTAGAGTAGAGTAGATGTAGGAGGAAATTCGTTACAGGCTGTACATTGCAGTAATCACCCTAGTAAAATGTGAAACACAACCCTGAATTTAGGCTGTCGACCCTGACTCATCAGAGTGACTAGTTGTTGAACCCTGAGCTATCAGGGCGACAATCTCCTGAACAATGTGCACTCATAATCGAGGGAATCTTTTTTTTTGCGGCATCAGGGAGCCCTAAAGTGAAACGTCAGCCCTGCCCCGGATAGTAGCGTATATGCGCTTATAATAAATTCATTTTTTTAGGGGGGGCACTTGTAATTGAGTAACGGCCATAAGCGCCGACGCTTTTATAAAGGCAAAATTGAATTTCACTGTTAAGGATATCATTCTGAAGCCCTCAATAAGGCGAATACAACACTGTACCATGCGCGCGGGGTCGTGCATGGAATGACGGCGAAACTAGCTGCACAAAACCCGTCCCGGTGCAACGCACCTGCCAAAACACTGATGCAAAACCTGCCGTGCGGCCCAATCAGGTTGGCATGCGCTGCCAGGCAGGAGCATCTCGGCAGAACCATCCAAAACGTGATGGAATCTGCCGTGCCAGCGTAGCATGGATGGTGCCCCCAACCCTCCTCTGCGGGTTGGGGCAGGGTGTACTCGTCTCTCATCGACGAGGACCCCGAGCCGCAAACCAGAAGAGGTCCCCTTCAATCTCTCATTTTAACACCCATTCTTGCAGTTTTTCATTCATTCTTTTTCTCGCCCGCCTGGATGCGGAAGCCATGGCGGAATTCACAGGCACTCATTTTCTCTTCAAGATTAAACCTCCCAGTAGGCCCGCGTACCGTGTTACAGCTGACGGATGGTATAGCCGCATACCACCAGACCCTCCAAAGCCACCACAGCCTCCTGCGCCTCCTGCGCCGCCTGCTCCTCCGGCTCCTCCAGTGCCTCCGACTCCCTCTGCTCCTCCTGTTCCTCCGTCTCCTTCGTGTCCGATGGCCCCTCACGTCACCGACAACCACCCCGTGCTCACGCTCCTGCTCCCATCGGCGTTCGACGAGTATCTGTCGGAACCGGATTATGACAAGGGCCCCGATGTTGACGTACCCGCTCCAGCGCCAGCACCACGTTGGGGCCAGCCAGAAGATTTCACGTGGGACGAATCCGCAGTCGGCGCTGACTACGACGTGCAAGACGCCGAGGAAGGTTGGCGCGCTGAGGGCGAAGCCAGCGCCGAGGGTGGCACTGAGGCCGACACCGAGGCCGCTACTGAGGCCGGCACTGCTGAGGGTGCGCCGGGCGGTGACGACGACGACGGCGTCGAATACTGGTCACGCGATGGCCTCCCCGAGAAACTCCCGATACCAACTTATCCTCCACGTAATCGAAAGCGACCTCACCCTTCTTCACAGAACCGTGATTCTCGCCCCCCCTCTCCCAGGCACAAGCCCAACGACCACAAGCGTCAGGCCTATATTGCCGTCGAGAAGTTGAAGTGGGTCGTGCAACTGGATGTGGCGGTGTCGGTGCGCGCTCTGGCTCGCGAGAGTGGCATCCACCGCAAGTGCCTCGCCAACTGGAAGCGTGCCGCTAATTTCCTCAAGGAAGCCCACTCTGCCAGGAAGCGCATGCACGGTCGCGGCAGGGCGTCGTGGTACCGCCCGATGGAGATCAAGGTGTATGAGCGACTGCTCGATTGGCGACGCAAGGGAACCGCGGTGTCCGTCGGCCGCCTGCAGGAGTGGTCTCGGGAGTTCATGAAGTTTCTCTACCCCCTCGTGAAGTGGAAAGGGAGCCAACGGTGGTCGGACCGGTTCCGTCGGCGGTGGAATCTCAGCGTGCGAATGAAGACGAAGGTCGCCCAGAAAACCGCCGCCCGTAAGAATCAATTTTATTCTCTATGCCATGTGTATGCACTTGTTACTCACTGACCGTAACTGTGCTCAACTGCAGATGTCGCGGAGCAGTGCAAGAAGTTCTGGCAATTCTTCCGTGACAAGCGTCGGGAGCGCGGCATTGAGACGACGTGGATTATCAATGCCGACCAGACGCCGCTGTGGCTGGAGATGCCCGCCACCACTACCGTCGATCAAATCGGTGTTCGGTCGGTGCCTATCAGGAGCGCGGGGTACCAGAAGGAGCGCGTGACCGTGATGTTGGCGTGCATGGCGGACGGGATGAAGCTGAAGCCGTGGGTTTTTTTCAAGCGGAAGACCGTGTCGAAAGGGGTGTTCCCCCCGGGTAAGTCATGATTCTTGTTTGTATGCTTTTCACCGGTCCTGTTCATAAAGAGACCTACAGAAGCTTGTTTGTTATGCAGATGTGGTCGTGGCGTGTCACGATAACGGCTGGATGGACGCTGTCAAACATTATATATGTTGTGTTAGTTTAGGCTACAGTGGGTTAGCCTATAGGGGGTACACAATTCTAGGGTTAGGTACTTGTACTCTTTTCATTGCCAGTTCATTCATTCCTGTTCAGTGATTCCAACATGGTATAGAGCAGGTCCTTCCTAGGACCGAAATTTTCTAAGGGCCCACCACTACGTAACTACCTACCTACCTACCTACCCGTGCCCTAGGGCGCCTCGGCGTGTCACGCCCCTAGAGGCCCCTCTTGACGGCCCCGCGCTAGCCCCGTTCAGGCCCCGTCGGCCCCTTTAAGGCCCCGTTCAGGCCCCGCGCTAGCCCCGTTTAGGCCCCGTCGGCCCCGTTTCAGGCCCCGTCGGCCCCACGCTAGCCCCCCTCAGGCCCCGTCGACCCGCGCTAGCCCCGTTTCAGGCCCCGTCGGCCCCTTTTCAGGCCCCGTCGGCCCCGCGCTAGCCCCTCTCAGGCCCCGTCGGCCCGCGCTAGCCCCCCGTTTCAGGCCCCGTCGGCCCCGTTTCAGGCCCCGTCGGCCCCGCGCTAGCCCCTCTCAGGCCCCGTCGGCCCGCGCTAGCCCCGTTTCAGGCCCCGTCGGCCCGCGCTAGCCCCGTCTCAGGCCCCGTAGGCCCCGCGCTAGCCCCTCTCAGGCCCCGTCGGCCCCGCGCTAGCCCCATTCAGGCCCCGATCGGGCCCGCGCTAGCCCCGTTTCAGGCCCCTTCGGCCCCGTTTCAGGCCCCGTCGGCCCCTTGCTAGCCCCGTCAAGGCCCCGTTTGGCCCCGCGCTAGCCCCGCTCAGGCCCCGATCGGCCCCGCGCTCGCCCCTCTAGGGCCCCAACCGGCCCCGTGCCTACCTCGCCGACCCGTGCCCACCACCCAGAGGCCCCGGGCGGCCCGTTCCCGCCGCAGCACAAGAGGGAAAGCGGGCGGCCCGTCCCCGCCGTGACCTGAGCCGAGCCGCGCGCCCCGAGCCGAGCCGCGCCACCCAGCCGAGCCGCGACCCGACCTGAACCGAGCCGCGCCGCCCTGCCCTACCTGGTTCGTCCTACCTGCTTCTCCTACCGCTACTGCTGCTATTTCTACTGTTCCTATGGCTAGCCCACAGGTTCTCGTGTTCGATGCTGAGGGCCGCCCTGTGAAGTTTGACACCTGGCTCGATGACCTGCACCTCTACCTACAGCTCACAGCCAAGGATGACATCTCACTGTACGATCACGCCCTAGGCCTTGTCACTGCCCCTGCTGCTACTGCTGACAGCACTGCTCGCTCACAGTGGCAGACTCGTGATGCCCACGCTCGCTTCGCCATTCGCAACTCCCTGCCGATAGACGAACGCGAGCACTTTGGTCAGCACAAGACTGCACCGGCACTGTACACAGCTGTAGTTGCTCGCTACTCCTCACCTGCCTCTGCCGCACTAGGCCGTCTCTCCCTCCCCTACCTGTTTCCCGACCTGGCCTCCTTTCACACAGTCGCTGACCTCATCACGCACCTCCGTACTAGTGAGGCCCGCTTCCGTGCCGCCATGCCTACTGAGTTCCTTGCCACGCACCCCCCTCCACTCTGGCTCACTCTCTATCACCTAGTCACCCGCCTCCCTGACACACTGCGTGCTGTCAGGGACCACTTCCTAGCTCGTTGCCCCACTGAGCTCACCATTGCCCTCCTCGAGAAGGAGCTACTTGCAGCTGAGGCTAGCATAGTCGCTGTAGGTGCCTCTCGTGGCGACCCTCGTACCCCGTTCTTTGAGGGGTGTTCTCCTTCCCCCCTTCTTCCCTCTGTCGCCTCTGCTGCTGCTGTCGACCTTCTTGGTACTGAGAAGGTCGGCACTGCGTCTGCCTCGAGCGGACGCCGCAGCGGCAAGGGCAAAGGGGGCAAGGGTAGTGGCGGTGACGGCGGGGGAGGCGGCGGTGGGGGCGGTGGAGGCAGTGGGGGTGGTGGCTCGGCTGGAGGGGCGAGTGGTAGCGGTGGGGGTGGTGGCGGCAGCGGCGGGGGAGGTGGCAGGAGTGGAGGCGGCGGTTGGGGTGGCGGTGGACGAGGCGGCGGCAGGGGTTGGGGTGGTCGAGGAGGTGGCAGCGGTGGTGGTGGCCGTGGAGGCGCTGG